GGATCTGTAAGTTATGCTCATCTGTTGACAAATTACAATTCAAATTACATCTATTTGAATATATGTACGTTTCTTAAACTTATTTATGTATGTATATACCTATACTTACCGCCTTACTTGTTCCAAATTTCAAGATCAGAGTATAAAATACCGCCCTTCTGATTAAAATGCGAGCGAGAGTCTTTTGCGCCTTCAGTCGGTCGCTCTTTTGAGTAATTTTTATGATTGTCAATCACTTTGAATTAAATTAACTCAATTTATTAACATCATTTGTACACACATATATGTATGCATACGTATGCTATGTACCAGCATTGGTCTCTCGCGAAGTTTTTTAATGCAATCAAATTCTAGATTCTCGAAACGTGAATGAATTTTTTTATTCAATTGTTTTCTTCATATGTTCGCATTCTTTTGTGCTATGGTTAMACGCGCTGTAATTCAATCGCTCGTGTAAAGACACTTTGCAACTAGAAGCACCATTATGATGGTAAATAATGTACAATTATAAATAAATATTTATTATTACACTTTGCTCTTCAGGAGTTAAATTTACGTCAATAATTAGCGCAGTTTCAAGTGACACTCTCGTCTATATGTATTTATGAGAAGATTGTTGGAAGGCATTTTCATGCGACGCCATTTATTTAAACACGTTTTTGAAAGCAACTAAACATGAATTTTGATCGAGAGATATAAATATGTGATAATATTTTACGTTTTACAAGCGAAGCTTCATATGATTGCACTCAAGCACTTTCAATTCCTTTCAATTAGAATTTTCTTGTATTAAGTACTAAATAATTTTATAAAACTGAAATATTTTTGCACTATTGATAATTTTTATAAAATAATAGGCTATAGTAGCCAGAAAAATCCAACCATATTTTCAAAAACCATCCTCAAGCCTTACCTGGGTGAATCCATCGCCTACAAGTTACACTTCAAAGTGATTATGAGTTCAAGGGCCAATGTAATTTAAGATAACAATGTCACTATCAATAAGAGCACAATTTTTTCGACCGAATTGAAAGTTAAGAATTAAAAGTGCACTAAGTGTGCCTGAACGGAGCCAGATAAATATTTAAGAAGATGGTTGTTTCCACAAAATTGGTTTAAGTTGATCCAAATTCAACAGACTTTATTGCGACATTGTTTTTCAGTTCTTTATGATAGCCGCATATTCGRCAGATCACCCTAATGTAAACAGAACTTATGCATCTCTTAAAAGAAGGCGTGTCGTCACAACAGAGAGTTCGAAAATCGAGTTATGTAGATCGCGTCTTGGTGTAAAAACATGTGAACAGATTTGTTAAATTTTGTTACGTGTGCCGTTAATTAGTAAAAARATTTTAAAGAAAATGTTAAGTTTTTTGATATTCCAATTAGCGTTTAAGCAAAAACAATACAATTAAAAGCGCAAATTAACATTAATGCCTAAATTGAGATATCAGATCAAACAAGTAAAGGCAGATTGGCTATTTTACTGTACACTAGCTGATACTTATTCACCATAATATTCCGAAATTAGAAGATTAGAGTTGTCATCAAACGAAACTGATTGGTTTTTTAAAAAAGTTCTTCCAAGGTAGCGATCAGTGTTCAAGCTTTTTCGCTTTCGTACACAGCTTGATCGAAACCTAGTTCTGGTAGAGGTTGYGAATTTTTAATTCAAACATTTTGGATGATATATTAGTTTTATATAAAAATTTTGTTTTAATCCCAATGTTTGTTGGAAAACGCGTGCAACAAAATCTTCTTTTTTAAATCGTTATATTATACGCTCGGTCTGATACCATTATGTA